CATCACGGTTACTCACACTTCGCAGCTGTCAATGGCTGACAATCTTGTTTTTTCATTCACCGTAACTAGTTGAATGAATGAAGAAAGATGACAACCACGATCTATGATGTGGTTCAACATTAACCTGTAGATTATCTGGGATTGATCGAGCCTGCTGGCAGAATATGATTACCAATGTAACTGAGTATGACTGAACAGCCGCTTTTTAGCCTGCAGACGAGTCGGATATTTTAACCTGGTCATGGTGTGACCTGTCAATTTCAAGATTTCACGGATCCAAAGCCAGATAGTGACAGAACTTAGACATTTTGGGCCCAGAAATAGTGGGTCGTGTATGATTTTCTTAACTGTGTGTGTTCTGAAATGAATTTCATCAAGTTTAATAAGCTGCCACATCAGTTGGGACATTGTTTTCGTGGACTTTCGAAGGGGAGTGTTTTCTTATGGACTTTCAAATCCCCTCCTGACAAATTCTAACGGTTGTGGTTGATGGAGATGGCAACGAATATTGATCACAAAAAGGTTTGTAAACAACTAGTTGTCCTGAATAAAGTTTCTTCAAACAATTATTATAATGTTATATAATGCTTTCATTGTTGGTTGTTTCAATGAGGAATGGCTTAAATTGTTCCGATTCACCACAGAACATTACTCTAACAGTTTCATGAACATTTCATTTGTATGCAAAAGATATGCTTTCGTTTTAAATATTTAAATGTCATCATCGAAGCAGTAAGGGTTGCGGCCTACAACGCCCCAAAGAAACGATATAAAACTACCGTATTTCCTCTATTTGGCGCTACGCCATCTTTTAATTTCGCGAGAGCCCTTGACTCAGCGTGTATTAGAGACCTTGCTGGTATTAGAGACCCAGCGTGTATTAGAGGAAATAAAGATTTACAGTATATATGGTGGTGATCGATCGGCAGCCACTTTTTATGAATCAATATATAGGCTTTCTATGTATTCATACGCACGTTTATTGTGAAAAGGCTTAATGTATTTGAAAGGGGTTTCCGTAGCAAAAAGGAAACCTCTTTTTACCAATCAGAATCAAACATTCATCGATGTCATGGTAGAATATTGAACAAACCTCAAGCTCAACAAACCTACAGTCAGTCAACCATCATTTTGGTACCCAGTTTTTCCATTAAACACACAATCATCCCTAATACAGCGCCATATCAACAGTCACAAAATTACTGTACATGATAAAAATGAAGAAAACATGAAGGACATGTAACTTATACTGCAAAACTGGTATTTTGCATATTATTTGATAATAACAAACGTCGCGTGATTGTGTGTTTAATAGAAAATAAATGTGACTGGGTAATCCGATGGTGAGGTGTGGGGGTTTGGGGGTTTGGTGGGGTTGGGGTTGGGGTTGGGGTTTTGGGTTGGGGTGTGGTGGGGTCTTATGAATCCCATGTTCATCATGAATTTGATTTTTGGTTTGTCAGCACCATATTCACGCTCGAAGATTCATCAAAGTGACAGACCTCATGTAGCTGCTTTCTTCTCACATTCAGTAAATACACCGACATACGAAACCTCTAGTCCCTCACCATTCTCTTACTTATGTTACCAATATCACCACTAAAGAAATAGATATATGTTTGAGTAGCACAAAAACCGTCATGTACAACTCAACAGAAATAGATATAGAAATATTTTTGCTTCGCACGAAAAACGGAAGCGGGCATCTCAGTACCTTTAATGTCAGAGAGAATGAATGCGTGATGTAAGAATCTGTTTATCTCCAAGATGATACTGTGATATACATCCTGTTCAAAGCGACGTTAATCCTACTCACTCACTCACTCACTCACTCACTCACTCACTCACTCACTCACTCACTCACCCACTCACCCACCCACTCACTCACTCGTCACGTCAATAGTCTTCACTTACCCCACCAGAACGGGAATGTGAGTGAACAGAATCTCTGGGGCCGGATGCTGAAGAAGAGATCGCACCTGTTGGACTGCTCACAGCAATAATATCTTCCCAGGTAATCCGCCAGGTAATGAAGCCGTACAAAAACGGGATCAAACCTCTGCAGCGATCCAGATTCCTCAACTGACGTCAATAATCTGGTGTCTCTGTAGCAACATTTCTGCAGAAAAAATGTCAGAATTCAAACCATGCAAAGTGGAACATTCAAATCATTTAACTCGTTTATCTGTTCAGGAAACTATTTACAATATGCTATGTAAGTGATGGACTATGATGGCGGAAAACCAACTGATGAGCAAAGCAAACTATACCTCTCAGGTGAGTTTGTCATATGTTTGCTTTTCAATTGAAAATAGCTTAAGTTCGCAACATTTTATCCAAAAATATGAACTGCACTGGCACTTAGAATACTTCTACATGGTTTTATTTTTAATATAATATAATTTAAAACTTTTAAAATTTATTATTCGCATAATACAAAACTTTGGCATGTTATCTTTAAAAATCAATAAATTAACATTTTTCGCCACAATTTTACAGCATTTCAAACATGTGATGGGAAATATACCTCTTACCCAAATCTTCATTTCACCAATATATTTTTACTCAAAATTATCCATCTGTAGCTCAAATAGTGGTACATCTGTAGGCCCTGCGTCGCCTTTTGCTCTCCTCGCACATTAAACTTAAGTAGTGGTACGCCTCAAGTCATACGCTCAGTAATGTGTGAGTGAGCAACTTACCCGAGACAAAGGAGTGGTCCACCAAACGAGGCGCGATGTGTAACAGACACTGAATGGACCATTTTGGTATCTATAGTCAGACAGGTAGAACCTCCAGTCTCTGTTCATCCACACGGAGCTGCAGGGACAGTCATCCAGGTACCAGGCCCACCAAAACTGGTAGTCCCGCTCCCATTCGGTGTACCATTGTTTACACAACGATACGAAGTTCGTCACTGTCCCCCCGATGTCGAATACGTACACGCCCGGGGTACCTGAATTGTTTAAAATATTTTGTTTCAAACTAAAAAGTGTTTTTTTGAAGATTATTGTTTTATTATATAGTGTGAAAGACCGAGTTTTCAGAAGTTGAGAAAAGGGATATTTTCACTGCAGTGAACATAACACATGATTTTTTCTGCAGTGAACATAACACTTCATATTTCACTGCTGTGAACATAACACTTTGACGTAACTATTGTCATACATGAGTGACCTCCCCTCAAATTGTCTCCCTTTATCGTAAATGTCTGGCCTGTTCACAAACTGTTGACCTCCTTTTTACGTTAGTTCCACATTGACAAGGCGAAATAGATGATCATTTATGGAGTTAAAATGTCTTTATGCCGTTTGTTATTCTCTTGAAAATGTTTCGTTATAAACTGTAAATTTCTCATCTAACTCGATCGAGAATGTTCGTTTCGCAAATCGCCATTTCATTACTTGACCAACGTGTATTCTTTCTTTCCAAATCGGTCTCGTCGTTTTCAAAAATATATTTTGTTAAGGTTGATTTTGTATCTACTCATATCTTTAAGGTATGATACAGAATTTTCGTGACCCAAAATATTTTGTGTTATTTTTGGTTATATTATTTAAGAATTTGAAAACACGAAGCTACATTTTTAGTCACAAATACCAGGGGTGGTGAACCGTCTCTGTGTGTTAGGAAGGGAGAATTTACGTTTCAATGTTTTACATTTGTAATGAAATAATTTAATTTTCCGATAGATAACTACACAAAAAGTATAAATATATATCTATATATGAAAGGATATTCCATGTGTCTCGTGAAATATCATGTTTCTCTCATCTCGCGACGGGGAAAAAGAAGATATTTTCACTCGTGGCTACGAAATGAGAGAAACGTGATATTTCACAGACACATGAAATATCCTCTATATCTTCGAGCGATAACCACGTGGCTCTCCAACAATGCTATGATTCAGCTTGAATATTTGTCTGCCTCAGAGGTTTTACAAAAAAAGGGAATCGATCCCGGTACAACGGTTTACTCACAGGGCCATCCAAACCCCCCCATGAATTGACGACTTTAAGGCTGTGTGCTCCCCATATACACCCGCCTCAACCTAAGCATTTCTTTGATAAAACATAACGATCATAATGCTTTATCCGAGGTGAGCGGATGTGAGTTGAAATGGGGTTTAACGTCGTGTCCAAGAATATTGCACTAACATAGGGACGTGCATGCACGTGTGTGTGCGTCAGCGTTTGCGTGTGCGTCTTTGGCCCGGGATCGAACCACCGACTTTACGCTCTCCTGGCAGACACTTTACCCACTACACCACAGAGGCGGTCACGCTTTATGTCTCACGTTTGATATATTTATTGGCATTCGTGGTTCACTACAGAGTATCCGTTGAGTTTGCGTTTATGATGTGAGGAGCTTTTGCTTGGATGATGACGTGCTACCTACGCGTGTTGCTGCCGATGCCGGCGTTGGTATAAGCTGCCCGCTTTCCAGACATGATAAGGACCTCCTGTCTTCTATCTCTCGTATTTGAACTTTCATAGCCGATGTAAATTGGGATATCGTCTCTCACCGTCCATCCCATTCTGTTGTAGGTATACAAGGCATACGTGGACTGACCGTTAGTGACCAGCAGCACTTGGAACGTTGCAACCTTCACAGAAACCAAATCAATTTAATATATTGATCCTTTCGTAGAGGACGTAAATTATTAAACAAAAAGTGCAACTCCAAGTGTATAACTATCTGTCTATATGTCTGTCACTGAATCACTCACTGGATCACAGACACACTGAAACAATCACTGAATCACACACACACACATTGAATCAAGCATAGACTCACTCATTCACTCTTGCACTCATTTACTTACTATGATTTCTTACCTCGTCAGATGAGGATTGTCCCTTCTGTGGCACGTGATACCACGTGACCACCAACGCCCATGTTGCTTTGAATGTGCTGTCAGAGATGTATTTCTTAATCCAAGTGGAAGCTGTTTCAAGCCTATTGCTGGTGCCATTGTATGCCTGGTAGTAGATGGCAGTTGTGTTTGGGCTATAGTCGGACGTGATGTCAATGTCGGCCCAGTAAGGACACAAGATGTTCTGGGTTGTGGTGGGTAATGATGGCGAGTACGAACCAAACCGCGTCCCAAAACTAATCACGCCGTTTGTAGAGATCTAGACGGAGGGATGAACACAAAACAGTCAGGAGTAAAAGAAGGAAGTATAAGTAGGCAGCCAGTCTCGAAGGTTATATGATATGATATACCCTGCGTGATACATCCTGCGTGAGCGCCTATGTACTGGTTACGTTCACTAAACACATTTGATGTTCAGTTTGGAGCTAATATAATCATGTCATATATTCGCATTGGTAAGAAGTTCGGCGCCTCCAAGCGGAATACAGTAAACTACGATTATAACTTTAGTTAGTAATAACCGTAGTTCGTCATAATCATATATATATATACATCATATATGCAACAAATGGCCAGGACTAAAAAATAAGTTCGTAATATCGGTCAGTTCGTTGTAAGCGTAGTTTACTGTATATGAATTTTGTACCTTGGAAGGGTACATAGAAACCATAGACACGAGTATCTTAATGCAAGGTAAGATGAGTATGTATACTGAACAAAAATATGGTATTTTTGAAGTGAACGCCGAGCACATATTTTCATAAAGGTATTCTACAAATAGTCATGATCCCTAACTTTTTGTTCAGTATATATAGATATATACTGGCCTGTAATACGTAAGGTACTAAAATTTATTTCAATAGTTGCATGGAACCACACAATCTATTTTGAAAGAACTGTACATGTACTCATAGGCAGATGATATTATGACATACAAAAAAAGAAAATTGGTAAAAAAATATTTTTTTGCCGAGGATGGAATAGGAAATGTGATTGATGCACTCACATTAAAGTCACTAATAAGTCATGGTAATTTACAAATGTCACAGTATATCTTAACTTATATATATATGCAATAGTATATCTTTGCTTACAAATAGGGAATAGTATATCTAAATTTACATATACACCACAGTCTATCTTAACTTACATATATATCACAGTATATCTTAACTTATATATATGTATGCAATAGTATATCTTTACTCACATATACGTCACAATGTACCTTTGCTTACAAATATGTTATATTATATCTAAACTTACATATACACCACATTTATGTAAGTTCAGATATACTGTGATATATATGTAAGTTAAGATAGACTGTGGTGTAAATATATCAAGTTAAAGAACATTGTGACATTTATGTAAGTTCAGATATACTGTGATATATATGTAAGTTAAGATAGACTGTGGTGTATATGTAAGTTTAGATATACTATAACATATTTGCAAAATATAGTGAGCCGAGTTTGTTTTCATGTAATTGAAAATTGAAAGAACTGCTGTTAATTTTGATGGTGTCAATATAACCATCACTAATGCCTGAAACAGTTTGTAAACAGCAATCTGTGGCTGGATTAAAAAAAATTGGTTCGCTGAAAAATCAATCTCATTAAAATCAGATCTTAGTTCTCGCTACCCGCTAAACAACGATCTGAGGACATCCTATTAGGGGTCACGTCAGAACGACCTCTCATCCGACCAATCAGAGCGTCGCTTACCAGATCATGAAAGTGATAGTCGGAATGTGATTTTCAATCTTGCAACCTTGAAAACTTTAACACGGGGTATTCCGAACGATAGTTATGGGTTTAACGACTGAATCCATACAATCTAGGCCATCTAATAGCCATTCCAGAATGTTCTTTTGTTCAGGTTTCAATTTTTTAATCGAGAATTTGTCAAAATATTTTTCGAAGCGTAGTCGCCAATTTGAAATTAGTGCCGTAAAGCACGAGAAAGCTGCCTTCTGATTGGCCAAAGTTCGCGCAAGGTCGGTCTGACGTGTTCCGTAATGGGATGTCCTCAGATCTTTGTTTAGCGGCAGCAAGAACTAAGATCTGATTTTAAAGAGATTGCTGAAAAATGGGGTACGAAATGAATTTGTAACCATGTTTGAAATGCTGTAATGTTTTGCCGAAAATAGCAAATTTATTTATTTCGACGATAAGGTGTCTAAGATACCCAACAACAGTTTTGTATTATGCGATTTTTTAAAAGTTTTGAATAATATTGTATTCGTTGAGTTTTAATAAGCGCCAGTACAGTTTATTTTTTAAATATGATATCGCTGACGTAAAGATCAACTGAGAGGTATAGTGTCTTTTGCTTCTCCGTATATAACGTGGTATTTTTGAACTTACATATATGATATAGTATATCTCTGATGAAAATGGGATTCCATCCTCAACGTCTATCGCCTGAAAACCTTCATCCTGGCTAGACATGGTTGAATCTGAAGCGCTCGGACCGTAAGTGAACATTTCTGTTGAATGGAATGCAAGCCAATAATCATATATCAATTATATTATGCCAGTTTAAGTGCTTGCCCACTGAGATACCATGCCGCAGTGTAACATGTGCTAAACCACCCTGGCACATTGTACTGACTAGAGAGCCGATCAGTTTTAGCCCCTAAATGCCGACCACAATGCAGGGTAACAACAAGTACCATTTTTAACGTCTTTGAGTATGACGCTTCTGGGGATCGAACCACCCAACTTCCCCTGTCCGGGCAGACGCTCTATCCACTATACCACGGAGGCCGTCTCATAGGTAGACTGATGGAGTATGTTGATGTCGCCGGCAGCCTTATTTCTACTTTTATCCATCGTAAGGCCGCTCCTCCACTGTCTGCATGTAATGAGTTGTACGTGCTACCCGTACCTGGCTTAACGCCTAATTCACGGGCTTCTACCTGTGACGTCACGGCAATTTGAACGCACAGTCAATTGTCACCTGTCAGCCTTGTAGGATTGGCCGACAGCACTCAACACTTTTCTAATAACATTTCATGTTACAGGTAAGCACCTTCCTTATATATGCCTTCTTCATCTATATATTATTGCTAGTGTATCAATTATAGGGAATATACTACTTAATAACCAATCAAGTAATGTAACTTCAAGTTAGTAAAGAATCGATCGCGTATATTGTAAACATCGCGCTAATTGCTATTACTAACTTAATCACTGCACTAGCATAGCACGTAAGACAGTGTGTGAAAGGAATAACACTATATGTATATATGTTTCATATTTTAATAACATATTATACCAAAAACACAATGTTATGGATCACTGACTTCGCGCCATAAGTGTGACGTCAGCATATTATCTCATCATAAAAACACTCTATGCATAGCCACAGTGCTTAGATATATATTTTGCCTATTTTATTCCTATCATTATTATATACATCATATATTATACGGACAGTCAATTGTCACCTGTCAGCCTGGTAGGATTGGCCGACAGCACTCAACACATTTCTAATGTTGACGTTTCATGTTACAGGCAAATAAATACATTTTAAAAGAAACTCCGTCTTCAATATTTGTCTGGGACGACTAGAAGCCTGAACCTGCGACATTGACTTTGAAGAGCCCGTGATGGGGGTATGCTGACTGTGTGAACTGAGTGTGATGGGGTATGTTGACCATGAGAACTGAGTGTGATGGGGGTATGTTGACCATGAGAACTGAGTGTGATGGGGTATGCTGACCATGTGAAGTGAGTGTGATGGGGTAAGTTGACCATGTGAACTGAGTGTGATGGGGTATGCTGACTGTGTGAACTGAGTGTGATGGGGTATGCTGACTGTGTGAAGTGAGTGTGATGGGGTATGTTGACCATGTGAACTGAGTGTGATGGGGTAAGTTGACCATGTGAACTGAGTGTGATGGGGTATGCTGACTGTGTGAACTGAGTGTGATGGGGTATGCTGACTGTGTGAACTGAGTGTGATGGGGTATGTTGACCATGAGAAGTGAGTGTGATGGGGTATGTTGACCATGTGAACTGAGTGTGATGGGGTAAGTTGACCATGTGAACTGAGTGTGATGGGGTATGCTGACTATGTGAACTGAGTGTGATGGGGTATGCTGACTGTGTGAAGTGAGTGTGATGGGGTATGTTGACCATGTGAACTGAGTGTGATGGGGTAAGTTGACCATGTGAACTGAGTGTGATGGGGTATGCTGACTGTGTGAAGTGAGTGTGATGGGGTATGCTGACTGTGTGAAGTGAGTGTGATGGGGTATGTTGACCATGTGAAGTGAGTGTGATGGGTTAAGTTGACCATGTGAACTGAGTGTGATGGGGTATGCTGACTGTGTGAACTGAGTGTGATGGGGTATATTGACCATGAGAAGTGAGTGTGATGGGGTATGTTGACCATGAGAATTGAGTGTGATGGGGTATGCTGACTGTGTGAACTGAGTGTGATGGGGTATGTTGACCATGAGAAGTGAGTGTGATGGTGGTATGTTGACCATGAGAAGTGAGTGTGATGGGGTATGTTGACCATGTGAACTGAGTGTGATGGGGTAAGTTGACCATGTGAACTGAGTGTGATGGGGTATGCTGACTGTGTGAACTGAGTGTGATGGGGTATGCTGACTGTGTGAACTGAGTGTGATGGGGTATGTTGACCATGTGAACTGAGTGTGATGGGGTAAGTTGACCATGTGAACTGAGTGTGATGGGGTATGCTGACTGTGTGAAGTGAGTGTGATGGGGTATGCTGACTGTGTGAACTGAGTGTGATGGGGTATGCTGACTGTGAAGTGAGTGTGATGGGGTATGTTGACCATGTGAACTGAGTGTGATGGGGTAAGTTGACCATGTGAACTGAGTGTGATGGGGTATGCTGACTGTGTGAACTGAGTGTGATGGGGTATGTTGACCATGAGAAGTGAGTGTGATGGGGTATGTTGACCATGTGAACTGAGTGTGATGGGGTAAGTTGACCATGTGAACTGAGTGTGATGGGGTATGCTGACTGTGTGAACTGAGTGTGATGGGGTATGCTGACTGTGTGAAGTGAGTGTGATGGGGTATGTAGACCATGTGAACTGAGTGTGATGGGGTAAGTTGACCATGTGAACTGAGTGTGATGGGGTATGCTGACTGTGTGAACTGAGTGTGATGGGGTATGCTGACTGTGTGAAGTGAGTGTGATGGGGTATGTTGACCATGTGAAGTGAGTGTGATGGGGTAAGTTGACCATGTGAACTGAGTGTGATGGGGTATGCTGACTGTGTGAACTGAGTGTGATGGGGTATATTGACCATGAGAAGTGAGTGTGATGGGGGTATGTTGACCATGAGAATTGAGTGTGATGGGGTATGCTGACTGTGTGAACTGAGTGTGATGGGGTATGTTGACCATGAGAAGTGAGTGTGATGGGGGTATGTTGACCATGAGAAGTGAGTGTGATGGGGTATGTTGACCATGTGAACTGAGTGTGATGGGGTAAGTTGACCATGTGAACTGAGTGTGATGGGGTATGCTGACTGTGTGAACTGAGTGTGATGGGGTATGCTGACTGTGTGAACTGAGTGTGATGGGGTATGTTGACCATGTGAACTGAGTGTGATGGGGTAAGTTGACCATGTGAACTGAGTGTGATGGGGTATGCTGACTGTGTGAACTGAGTGTGATGGGGTATGTTGACCATGAGAAGTGAGTGTGATGGGGTATGTTGACCATGTGAACTGAGTGTGATGGGGTAAGTTGACCATGTGAACTGAGTGTGATGGGGTATGCTGACTGTGTGAACTGAGTGTGATGGGGTATGCTGACTGTGTGAAGTGAGTGTGATGGGGTATGTTGACCATGTGAAGTGAGTATGATGGGGTAAGTTGACCATGTGAACTGAGTGTGATGGGGTATGCTGACTGTGTGAACTGAGTGTGATGGGGTATATTGACCATGAGAACTGAGTGTGATGGGGTATGTTCACCATGAGAACTGAGTGTGATGGGGTATGCTGACCATGAGAACTGAGTGTGATGGGGTATGTTGACCATGTGAACTGAGTGTGATGGGGTATGTTGACCATGTGAAGTGAGAGTGATGGGGTATGCTGACCATGAGAACTGAGTGTGATGGGGTATGTTGACCATGTGAACTGAGTGTGATGGGGTATGTTGACCATGTGAAGTGAGTGTGATGGGGTATGCTGACCATGAGAACTGAGTGTGATGGGGTATGTTGACCATGTGAACTGAGTGTGATGGGGTATGTTGACCATGTGAAGTGAGTGTGATGGGGTAAGTTGACCATGTGAACTGAGTGTGATGGGGTATGTCCACCATGTGAACTGAGTGTGATGGGGTATGCTGACCATGAGAACTGAGTGTGATGGGGTATGTTGACCATGTGAACTGAGTGTGATGGGGTATGTTGATCATGTGAAGTGAGTGTGATGGGGTAAGTTGACCATGTGAACTGAGTGTGATGGGGTATGCTGGCTGTGTGAACTGAGTGTGATGGGGTATATTGACCATGAGAACTGAGTGTGATGGGGTATGCTCACCATGACAACTGAGTGTGATGGGGTATGCTGACCATGAGAACTGAGTGTGATGGGGTATGCTGACCATGAGAACTGAGTGTGATGGGGTATGTTGACCATGTGAACTGAGTGTGATGGGGTATGTTGACCATGTGAAGTGAGTGTGATGGGGTATGTTGACCATGTGAAGTGAGTGTGATGGGGTATGCTGACCATGTGAACTGAGTGTGATGGGGTATGTTGACAATGTGAAATGAGTGTGATAGGGTATGCTGACCATGTCAACTGAGTGTTATGGGGTATGCTGACCATGTGAACTGAGTGTGATTGGGTATGTTGATCATGTGAACTGAGTGTGATGTGGTATGCTGACCATATGAACTGAGTGTGATGGGGTATGCTGACTGTGTGAATTGAGTGTGATGGGGTATGTTGACCATGTGAAGTGAGTGTGATGGGGTATGCTGACCATGTGAACTGAGTGTGATGGGGTATGTTGACCATGTGAATTGAGTGTGATAGGGTATGCTGACCATGTGAAGTGAGTGTGATGGGGTATGCTGACCATGTGAAGTGAGTGTGATGGGGAATGTTGACAATGTGAAGTGAGTGTGATAGGGTATGCTGACCATGTGAACTGAGTGTTATGGGGTATGCTGACCATGTGAACTGAGTGTGATGGGGTATGTTGACAATATGAAGTGAGTGTGATGGAGTATGTTGATCATGTGAATTGAGTGTGATGGGGTATATTGACCATGAGAAGTGAGTGTGATGGGGTATGCTGACCATGAGAACTGAGTGTGATAGGGTATGTTGACCATGTGAAGTGAGTGTGATGGGGTATGCTGACCATGTGAACTGAGTGTGATGGGGTAAGTTGACCATGTGAACTGAGTGTGATGGGGTATGTTGACCATGTGAAGTGAGTGTGATGGGGTATCTTGACCATGTGAAGTGAGTGTGATGGGGTATGCTGACCATGTGAACTGATTATGATGGGGTATGCTGACCATGTGAAGTGAGTGTGATGGGGTATGTTGATCATGTGAAGTGAGTGTGATGGGGTATGTTGATCATGTGAAGTGAGTGTGATGGGGTATGTTAACCATGTGAAATGAGTGTGATAGGGTATGCTGACCATGTGAACTGAGTGTTATGGGGTATGCTGACCATGTGAACTGAGTGTGATTTGGTATGTTGATCATGTGAACTGAGTGTGATAGGGTATGCTGACCATGTGAACTGAGTGTGATGGGGTATGCTGACTGTGTGAATTGAGTGTGATAGGGTATGTTGACCATGTGAAGTGAGTGTGATGTGGTATGCTGACCATGTGAAGTGAGTGTGATGGGGTATGTTGACCATGTGAAGTGAGTGTGATAGGGTATGCTGACCATGTGAACTGAGTGTTATGGGGTATGCTGACCATGTGAACTGAGTGTGATGGGGTATGTTGACAATGTGAAGTGAGTGTGTTGGAGTATGTTGATCATGTGAATTGAGTGTGATTGGGTATGTTGACCATGTGAACTGAGTGTGATGGGGTATGTTGACTGTGTGAACTGGGTGTGATGGGGTATGCTGACCATGTGAACTGAGTGTGATGGGGGTATGTTGACAATGTGAAGTGAGTGTGATGGGGTATGTTGACCATGTGAAGTGAGTGTGATGGGGAATGTTGACCCTGTTAACTGAGTGTGATTGGGTATGTTGATCATGTGAACTGAGTGTGATAGGGTATGCTGAACATGTGAACTGAGTGTGATGGAGTATGTTGATCATGTGAACTAAGTGTGATGGGGTATGTTGACCATGTGAAGTGAGTGTTATGGGGTATGCTGACCATGTGAACTGAGTGTGATTGGGTATGTTGATCATGTGAACTGAGTGTGATAGGGTATGCTGACCATGTGAACTGAGTGTGATGGGGTATGCTGACTGTGTGAATTGAGTGTGATAGGGTATGTTGACCATGTGAAGTGAGTGTGATGGGGTATGTTGACCATGTGAACTGAGTGTGATGGGGTATGCTGACCATGTGAATTGAGTGTGATTGGGTATGCTTACTGTGTGAAGTGAGTGTGATGGGGTATGCTGACTGTGTGAACTGAGTGTGATGTGGTATGTTGACTGTGTGAACTGGGTGTGATGGGGTATGCTGACCATGTGAAGTGAGTGTGTTCGAATATGCTCACCATGTGATGTGGGTGTCGTAGGTATGTTAACCATGTGAACTGGGTGCTGTGGGATATGTTAACTATGAACTAGAAACTGTGAAATGTATGTTTGTGTTACCTGCGTAGCACTCCTGGTCTTCTCGGACGAATCCGACCTCACATGTACAGTTGTAGCCCGTCGTCAGATCTGTACACACATGAAAGGGGCCCTTGCAGTACTCACACTCGTTTTCTGAAAATATACAGTATAAATGACATGATACATACGATAGCTCAACATGCATTTATTAGAAACCATAGACCGCTCCGTGGTCTTGTGGTAGAGCGTCCGTGGAAGTTCCGGGGTTCGATTCCCGGCCGCGTCATACCAAAGACGTTAAAAGATAGTACTTGTTGTTACCCTGTCTGGTGCCCGGCATTAAGGGTCCAAAACAAGGTTACAGTATACTGTATCTGAGCATGGTCTTCATGTTAAACTGGGGCATGTTATCTCAGTGGGCAAGCACTATGAAATCAGAATTAGTCCGGACTAGTAGAACAAGCAACGGACACACACACACACATACACGCACGCACGCACGCACACACGCACACACGCACGCACGCACGCACGTCGCTATAAAAGTGCAATAATCTTGGACGCGAAGATAAACCCCATTTCACCTCACCTATTAGAAACCATATGATTATTTTTTGGCATGTCTAGTGCTATAAGGACATCACTCTTCTGAACGATTATGAATGTCTTTCATCAGAATACGAAGAATTACCGTTCGATTATGTCGGAATGTTTCCTTCATTTTACATGACAATTAATTACAGTGAGGAAATCGTCTGTCTCGAAATTCGGAGACGATTAAAGTCAAACGTCCTGGGTTTGTGAATTTTTATCTCAGGGAAACTATGTGAATTTTTTTTATAGAAAAGAATGCATTAAAAAGTGAACTGTATTTTCGCTTGATAAACTGTCATTTGTTGTAAGGCAAATATTATAAGGAACAATTAAAAATGACGTCTTCTGTATTTACATTTACAAACAATGAAGTTTCAACACAACTTTCACCATATATTCGTATTTGTATGAGACATTTGCATTCTTGTGGTTTAGAAACTTTTTCATATTGACATGTTAAGAGTGGACATCCTTACTAAAACAAAATTCTCTTGTTATGCTTCTAGTTTCCATAATTTTCATAAGAAGATGTATCCTAACAAAGACATCCTAATACTCCTGAAACTTATAATAAGACCTCCTCAGGTCAGTACAATTCTGTTCTGAGAACATCTTAATGTTATTTTCGCTATTATCAAAATACATTCTATGGAAGCGTATTAGTACCACATTCTAAAATAAATATCATCATCTACGTGGATGATACTTACATCCACAAAGACTATACTTTCAACTACGTCGGTGATATGCTTTTATAATATGGCACTAATACGCTTCTATATAGCATTCCGTTTCCATCTATGCTCATTGTCTACAAGATATCAAACAAAATAAATCCAAAAATTCTCTTTCGCTGACAATATGTTTTCCAATCAAAATACACTGCTTCACTACGGACCTTTTGCGCTTACTGTTTTTTAATACTTGATTTCAATGGTTTCTATTTTAATTTTAGAAGTATAAACGTAAAGCCATGCACTGGAAGTTTTAGTTTATATCTCCAAAAAAACTAAAAAATATACTGTAGTTCAATCTTATGAATAAGGGCCAAATCCATTTTTTGGCCAGTTTCAAGTGTATATTTTCTTTTGTACGTCAGTTTCTTCAAAACATACCTCTATGTCAAACAACTTTAATTTTGTTAGGAACATCTTTTGTGGCAAAAAACCTCATACCAACTCCAAGCAGAATATTCACCAACCTGGTATCTTTAAAAAGAATATCGTGTTCCCAAATATCCCGGAAAAGATAATGGTCGATCTCCAGGAGAATTGGGTTTAACAGTTTTTTGGTCATATCACTTTGGGCTTTCCCTCACGTGTGAAACACAGTGACACATAAGCTGTCACACGGAGATGTGACTGAAATATTGTTCAAAGCGGCCTTAATCTCACTCCCTCCTTCCCTTCCTCACACACTCCCTGGCTGACTGACACCCTCAATCACTCACCCACTCACTCACTCACTCACTCACTCACTCACTGTTGGTTGACCGCTGCGTTTGGTTCACAAACGTTTCACAAAGGATTCGTAAAGGATTCGCCAAGTATTCACACAAGGTTGGCCAAGTGTTCACATAAGGTTCCTCAAGGGTTCATCCTGGGTTCCCAAACGTATTAGCAAAGGTCACAAAGTTTCTGGTTTAACAAAGTGTTCATGATCACCAGTGTCACAAGAGTTTCGCCAACGTTTCAACAAAGGTTGACAAACTCAAATCCTCATCTATGGTAAGTGTTTTGTGGGTGTACTGTCCCATCCATTTGTCATCCGCGCTTCAACAACCACAGGAACAATATGACATTGAATGTCCCTCGATGAATTGAAAATTAGTAATTCGCGTACATTGCAGTGAGTGATTGAGTATGGTTTTACGCCGCTTTTATCAATATTCCAGCAATATCACGGCAGGGGACATCAGAAACATGCTTCACACATTGTACCCATGTCGGCTACCACTAGTCATACTAGGCTACCACCCTACCGCCCTTCGCCTTCATTACTTGCTTATCCTTTCGCGTACACCTGGTGTCATCCCTGATTCCTTTAATGTTCACACCTATTTTTCCTTCTGTTCTGTCCAGGAATCTGTTTTGGTGGATAATTCTCTGTCGTAATTCATATTTACCTATCACGTGATTGGTATTTATCGTCAGTGATAAGGATACGTAGGATGTCAAACATTCACGAAAACAATAGATAGTATAACATTAATCTTACTGAAGCAATTAAACATGTGAATGTTTTATACCGAGGGAACATAGATTGCCTCTGTGGATTCGCTATCTTTATGTGTAACCGAAAGGATTTGCGTATGTGTTATTTTCACGTAGTGAAAATCGACTAACTTGTGTGGAGAGGTATGTCACACAAGGACACAATGTTCTAACATCAACAAAGACATCACATCATAAACACAGTTTCATTGGTGATGCTCTACTTCAGAAAGGGGAAAAGGGAGTGTATTCACCACGGCAAACACAGATGCATTACAACAGAACAATGTGATCACTTGGGCGTACACCAAGTCGTCCTTTGTTGTCAAACCGCAGCTCAAAATAATACGTGTGCATCTGGGTATTCAGCCCGACGGAGTTACTACTGTACTTGAATATCAACACTTGGGACGACCATTGCAACCCCTCCTCCTGTGTTACAACAGTTTTGTGGGACATATAAATTCCTGTTTAGAAACCCCATAGATGGGTTAATTTATGCATGACATGCACTAACTTGTACTCACCTGATCCGGAGGATTCGTATACCTCTCTCTTGTGCCGCTCGTGTTCCAGGTTGTACTCCGAGGGGAGTAGGTCTGAATTCAAAGCGTCCTCTGATAACAGGTCGACCTCTGATATGTATTTCCGATCTAGAGATGTGAACCTGACTACATCTGAACCTTTTTCGAAAGTTTGAAAATCACGCGTCTTTTTCAAACTGACGTTTCTTTGTTTCTTCATTGAAAAAAGGGATTCTTCCTCCAGCAGTGTGGAGAGGTCCTCATGCTCGAAATCTGAAAATTCATGACAAGATGGCGGTGCAACAAGGAAACTGATGCGTCAAATTTGAAAAGGTCCTCTACATAAAATGTTTTCGAAAGCTTTACTTAGACCTTGGATAAACTACGCTTGACATGTGTCAACGTGCCACAACCTGTATTTTGTTATGTATCAAATATGTCTGATTGCTATAAGCTGAATGTCCACTTGTACTTTTAGGGTCATTTAACATTACTTGTGTTTTGCATTTGAATATATGTGCATCAAACTGATATATTGCACTGGTACGTGAAAGGTATTTCACCGTGACGTGACATGTGTACCCCTGCTACGCGACCTGCCTCCGCGTTATGCAATATAATTCTACTGCGTCGTTACATGTAGTAGTATAGGTAATGGGGGTTCTGGACCACTTCCACTGGAGCCGGATTCATATACCTAAACTGCTACTACAGGTGGCATTTTTTATGCCAAAATGATGATGCGATTCAATGATAGTCATGAGATTAAGTTAAATTGGGTCTAGCTCACCAATACCTGGGGCCAATCATTGCTTTAGATGAGCCTTAATGGTAATAAAAATATTCTTCATTATTTTTATCAATAAAGCGATATTCAACATTTTTATTAAGTTCTTCATTCATTTTACTAGGAGACCAGACTATATAACTGCACTCTTCTTGTAAATTGATAAGAAACAATTGATAACCGTATTTGGTTGGTTTGACATCACTGATATAATAAAAACCTTGTGGTAATTCTCTCCATTTATTAGCTTTTTCGATCTCCATTATTATATATATGTATGTAAGCATTTGTCTAAATGTGATCAAACGATAGTAAGCAATCTATTTTTAATCTCCAACCAGTTCTTTGGTTTTGGCACGGAATAATTGACGCGCGTGTTGCCTCCCCTGTTCTATGAACTTTTTTTTCTAGTCTTCGCTAATACCACTGGTTTTATGAGATTTTGATCGAATCTCCTGCTTCATTGCGTTGTATTTGGTGAGTTCCGACAGCACTAAACGAAACTCATCCTCGGATATCTTACAATCGACCATTGCTGTCGAAATATGATCCTCAATGCTGTTCAACTGTGCTTCGTCGAGTATCCGAATACTATCGTGTTTTAATGCTTTCTTTTGTAATCTACGAGAAATGAATTTTATCGCTATTCCTGCCAGTCCTGAGACTGCAGCGGCTATTTCCATGCCGAGCACGATAGGCGAGCACGATAGGAGAGCATTCACGCCTCTGCGATACTTTTTATACAATCCAAGTCTCAACTCTCTATCATTCTCTATTCGATGTTTTATGTCGCTTATTTGATGTAATCGAAATCCATCAACAGTTTCCATCTTTTCAATTGCTTCATCGAGCGCTGGATATAAACTCATAGTGTATATTACGATCATATAATAGTCTTTAATTGGTCTTGCTTAAATGTTTTGAGACTATACATCAACCTTATCAAATGTATATTATACGGCAAGAATATCTTAGTAAGAGAAATACTACCACTTTTAATAATTTGAACCCCCTCGAGGGTTGCAATGGGCGATGCTCCGATATGAATAATACTACAACGTCGGCGCTCGTGTTTCTTGAGCCATTTAATCGATAGACCTGGTAATATTTCGAGGGCATCTTCCAGTACATCTCCGAACAAGACTTCAATAATAAGAGTAGAAATATTAGGTATTGCACTCAAGTTCTGTTTATTATCTTCGAATTCAGTAACCAAATTTAAAGTAACATTTTTTAAGGCCGGACGACTATATAACATATGACCTGGGTTTTCTGGCAGGGGGGTAACTAACACACTTTTTCGTTTTGATGGGATTTAAGCCGCGAGTACGATGCCACTATTTATTATCTTAGTTCAATTATGTCCCTTACCCATCATCGCATAGGGTGGGGTAATGACGATATTCAGTAGCCACTCGATGTTTGCTTCGACCATAGTCCATTTATTATCGTCGTTGCGAATAATATTGTACGAAGTGTTTTTAAGGAGTCTACAAACGTTGACATCGCTTAAATCTTCTAGATTACCTGTGAATGTGACTTCTTTCCGCTTGTATACATTGTCGTGTAAGAGTAAAGCGTATAACTTACCATTGGTACCGGGTTTACCGAATCCTTCTGTGTCTCCGAGATCGGAAAGCGCAATTGTATTACATTGTCTGAGCGTTCCAGGGCCTGATGCATCAACCATTATTTATAATATGGAGTGTTACACTTAAGTATCCTATATGTACAGGTTGGTGTTTTACATCTAATACAGAAATTTTGAGGTCTGAAATAATACCACGCTTTAATTTTTTATATTGTAATGTTGTGAAAGATTCCGTTCTACCACTATTGTATTTTTCATTTTTCACTGGAACACATCTGAGCAGAGTTGAAGGACTTTCTTGTTGAATGTTATCCGTCGTACTGATCTGATCAAGATGGATGCACAACTCTTTATAGGGAACTAAATCAGGTAAATCGAGTCCCTGATCTGATGTCTTGAGTACTGTTATTTCTCCTCTCCATCCAAGTGTGTATGCTAAGTTCTCGTAAAGCTTTACATCCTTTTTTCCAGCGTTTAAAATCAGTAACCCATTCGACTCATTTTGTGTTAGACTAACTCCATTAGGCTTAAAAAAATAATCATTGAGTGAGCATACGCTGTAATACCCATCAGGTATAATGTATTTTTCACCATTTATTTCTGTCTCATTATTATAACCCCTCGCAGCATTTATATTGGTCCACCGTGGGTAATACGTTACATCGCATAGAGCTACTTCGAGTTGTCCATCCGAGTTATCGATAGTATGAAGCAGTTCAATAGACTGACCATTTGTTATTCCCGGGAGTGTAACATACATATTAAATATACAATGATACTATATCATAACTTAAATATGAAATCGAGACAGATTACTAATCTATCGATTATGGTAAATTCCTATGGTGATGATTTTTTCGTTAAATTCCCTGATATCTTTGAAAAGTACAGGGTCACGGCAACTAGCGATAAAATGGTGCATGATTGGTTTCACAATCCGATGCAATTTTGGCAGAATCAGTTAAACTTTGCCATATGGTGTGCCACAACGGGATGTGGCGTATCTGTTAATGCCCCAGGATTTAAACTATATAAGTCTGTTTTATTATTTCACGTGTATTATCAGATTAGACGTATACTTAAAGAAATTAGTGCTCCATTACCGCAGGATCGAGCGTGGAATTCCACAAATAATAATTATGATAGGTCTGCGTATGAGCCTATTTGTCAGGAGTTTAATGTTTCTACGAGTAAAGATTGGCGTATTAAAGGAGCAAACCATGGTCTAGGAGTTCCTTACGCAGATGAAATAACAACCCTCAAAGAAGAAAGCGATTATGTATATAGAGAACTTCATAAACCTGGTCTTATTTTTTATAAGTTACGGCAGGACAGCAAACTTTAATCAAGAATATATGATCATTGGCATAAAACCAGTCATTGGTATAAAGGCTGGGAACTTTATAGTAACGATTGGAGAGGGGATATTATGAGTTTTAAGAGTGGGTTAATTTATATTGTTAAAAAATTTGTACAACTGAACGATGACGCTTGGAATGAATTTCTTAATGATAAAACGGAAAATAATTTTACTAACCCAGGATTTGTAAGATTTAATGAATCGATAAGAACTTATGTGTGGGCAATTCTCGGTGCACAATCGCAAACACAAACGTCCATTATCGGTACTGGGACGGCGTTCGATGCGCAAAAACAGTTTGTCGCAAACGTGGAGGACGCCATTAATTCACCAGTTGACATACCATCGTCTATAAAGCGTTTTCAAGATGCATTACAGTACGCTCAATCCAAAGTGGACTACGTTTATGCGCCGGGACTATACATGTCTCCGAGTAATATGGAACTTAAGATCGGTCAAGTGATAGGTTATAATAATAAAATTGTTATCGCTACCGATAAACAAAAACCAGGTATAAATTCAGATATTAACGTCGAATTAATAACGCAAACAATCACGGGCGAAAAGGGTATAGTCAAGCCACAAACACCAACTATCGCACAAACATCTACTAACGCACAAACACAAGTGCCACCACATATTGAGGCTAAAAATCAACAACATATCGATGAAAAAACAGCGCTTGTATTAGGTGGAGTCACGGTTGGTTTACTCATGATTTGGTTAAATAGTTCTTAGCGAACTGATTTGGATAAATAGTTCTTAGCGGATACGTACAACAGCCCTGCAATTGCTATGATCAGTGTCCACAAGTTTTGACTAAGGCAAGTTGTTGTCTTAGCTAATAAATTCAATAGCCAGGAAACCTTTTATACCGGGAAGTGCGGCCGCGGCTTACTCAGCGAGCTTTCCCAGTGCTGAACCTAATGCTTTTAAATGCTTTTTTATCCACTCTTTTATACCATCCGACGTAGGCGGTGATCCGCCACCACCTGTACCACCTGTGCCACTGGTTAACGCGAGAGTCAAAGTCGATATAATAAATCCCAACGCGGTTAAAATACTGGCAATGGTTATTCCCTGTTCTCTGAACAATGTTTTAATTTTATCGGTCAGTGTAGTGTCATCGTTGAGGACTGATTTGCGAACGAAGGGCCTTTCTATAACTGGAAGGTGCTTCGAGGCGGGCCGATCTTTCGTCTTCTAAGTTACGCAATCTTTCCGCTACGTGGCGTCTACTGAACTCATCGTCCGCCTGTTCAAGTTTTGTTTTCTCGTAAGCTATATGCTTGTCGATTTCGGATATCTTGGCCGTATTATTCATGAGTTCTCCCCGCATTGTTTGCATTCCCTTGTCAAGACCTCGTAAATCCCTAATACTAAACTCAGAGGATGGTACCTGTAACGTGGAATTATCGTAATAGGTATCTAAGATTTTTTCGAGTCCGTCCGAGGCCACCATCGAGGAAGCTTCCAAATCATCTGTATTACCAAGTTCATCACGCACGGTTCGAAGAACCTTAGTAGTCTTCGCG